GTGTTTGAAAGTTTTTGTAAAACCTTTGCGATACATCATATCAAAATTCTATTCAAAGTGCATTAAAAACAATGGAGGTGAAAGAGAGGACATATTATTACAGCAGTTTTTACGTGTATATCGGTTGACACTTGATCCTAACACTGTATCAGGTATGTCCCCGTAGGACTAATGTTCGCAAGGAGAATTTGATTGGTGTTTGATAAACTGCTGCCGAATTAAAAAAAAATGGCGGAAAACAAGAAAAAATCCGATTCCCAGAAATATTTCAAACCCGGCGAAAAAGTGGCATGCAATGCTGCAAAGATTGTCGAGCTACGCATGGGAAAGTTAGATTACATGACAAAAGTCTTTACATGGTTGCACCCTGCACATATGATTTGGTTATAGTGGTGATGTTTTTGTGCAGAAGCAACCGCAATTTTTGAAGAGCCGAATACAGAGACCTAGTGCACTACGTGTCACAAGGTCTCCAACCGATCCTCAGCAGGTTTTGAATTCAGAGTTGTCCTTCTGCTAGACCAGTTACCATCCAAGCCTATAGAACCCAGGCTGTCTTGCTATTTACCCATATATATATATATATATATATATATATATATATATATATATATATATATATATTGCTGAGGTTTCTTCTAGATTCGATAAATTAGCAAATTATGATTATCTCAAATCCACCTAATAATTTCTATCACTTGTACATCATTGCTTGAATCGGCTTCTGATGCTCTAGATGGAGCGGTTTGGAGATAGAAGACGTGGCTCGTGGGGGAACACTCCTATGGGCAAGGGAAACTCGGATGAGTTCCATAACGGAATATGTGATCGAGCGGTGCTATATCGAGTCTAATTCGACACCTCTTCGTCACCGAAGCTCAGTTGATATGACGTTTGCCTGATAACGTAACTGTCCAGGTTTCAATTCTAGGTAGTAAATGCGCACTTCTGATGAGTCTCAAATATAGGATGAAACGGCCGTTCAGTGCTTTCTTCACTCTACTGGGGTTTCCTCTAGACTCGATGAATTACTTAATTATATATATATATATATATATATATATATACTGGGTAAGACGGATAAATTTTTGTCTAAATGACATAAAAATGAAAACAAAACTGACACCTCATTTATTAGATATATTTATCAAAACTACACAAAAAATGTCTTGAAATTAGAATTTCAATATATGATTTAACTTCAACCATGGTCTCCAGACAACTTCGGAATCTCCTGTAACTCTTCTGAAGTAAATAGGTGTAGGAAGATAGTGTAGAGCCAATCTTCTGCCTCTGGCAAGAAATCCCCAACTACTGCTACTGAGGGCTACGTTTCCTTTTATCGCATGTTTTCTGCACATTTCTCTGCGTTTTGCACTTCTCCGCCCGGTGGCTTTTTTTGTTGCTTCTGCTCAAAATTATATTGAACCTGTTCCTAAGATTTTCACTTTTCCTTCAGTGGGTTTGTTTACGTCATGTTTTATAATTAAAACTCTTTGACCTTTAGCAGTTATTCGTTTATTTGAGCCATTGTCTTCATTTTGCATTTCCAAGAATTGTTGCTTCATCTCTTGTATTCGATACGTATAATTATATATTCATATTGTACAAAAGGTTTCACAGATTATCCAGTTTTATTTCATTTTATCTTCTATGCGTTGAATTTAATCGTTAATAGAATTGTTGAATGAAAAGGGGGCATTGGGATGATACAAATTATTTGGTGTATATAAAAGTCATTACTAAAATTTCCCTAAAATAACCGAAAGGAAATGGAAAATCCAAGCCATTTTCTTTCTTAGAATTTCTCCATTAATAAAAAAAAAATGAAAATAAAATAACAGAAAGTTATTTTTGTTATCAGCAAATACACACGGGCATTTCGAGCTATTAGGAGTCAATGGTTTCGGTTGGCAAATTACCTTCACTCCCTCAAACCGGAATATTTGACCTACAACCATTTCACTGATTGGGGTAAAAGTACCATTCTTTTAATTTTTTCTTCTTCGTCACGTAGTGGGCTTCTCTTTCTAAAATTATCAGCAAATCTTTCATATAGTTATATTCTAAATTATGTAAGTAAATTCCTTATTATAATATATATTTTATTTTAAAATAAAAATTAGGGTAATATCTTTTTTAAGAATTGTAAGATTTAGGGTATGATAAAACTAAGTGCAATATTAATCTTTGTATAATAATAATATTATTATCATTAATAAAATAATATTAATCTTTGTATAAAAGATAAGGAATTTAATGCCTGAATGCATCACTAAGATAAAGGCTACAGGAATATGTATTTCATTGGCATCAAATCCAATATGTATTTCATTGGCATCAAATCCAATATGTATTTCATTGGCATCAAATCCAATATGTATTTCATTGGCATCAAATCCAATAGACTTGAAAAAGGGTTTTTTTTTCAGGCAACGTGTCATTACATATCCTGTAGAATTTAACTGCTTGCGTTTGGACTATTATAGTGAATTTAACCGCTTTTCCCTAGATAACACAGGTTCGAATTCTGCCGGATGGCGCATATTTTTCTAAAAGTTTGCTCGAATATTCAGGTCGGAGGTTGTAAATAAATATACTCTCTATATTTCTGAGATGAGGTATTATGTATACTATTTATATTATTCGGACTATTGTCTTCATCTTTGTGCCTTATGTGAAGGGTTTATCAGAGAAAATACAAAGGATCTGCGGTCCATATAACATCAGGACAAACTTCAAAAGCTGGACTACACTTCGCAGATATCTCTCCCAAGTAAGACCCCCCCATAGAGGAGAACATGACGAAAGACTGTGTGTACGCTATCTCGTGCAGCTGCGGAAAGAAATATAAAAGGGGAGACAGGCCTCCCCCTTAAGGTGAGGCTTCAAGAACACCAAAAAGCTGGAATGGAACAATCAGGCATGTCTGACCACATATGGAGAGAAAAGGGAGATCACCGCCCTTTAGAGGATCAGGTTGAGATCATAGACAAAGAACACCATTGTAAAATTTGTAAACTTATGGAATCAGCACATATGCTGGGCCACGAAAATCTCCTGAGCCGACCAAGCATAGAAATGACTACAGTATGGGAACCAGTAATAAGGAGTGCTAGAGAATAGCGATAATGACAACAGAATTGCAATATAAGCTCTGGTAAAACATGCAATGATAACAGCAAAAAAATGCAATATGAACACTGGTAAAAAATGGTTGCTGATGTCATTAGGTTTATAATACCCAGAACAACATACAACGGCCGAAACGTTGTAATAAATATGTCGACAAAAATGACGTCAATAGTTCTAATAATGTAAATAAATATACTGTTTATTTATGAAAACAGAGCATTTACTCAAATATGAGTATCCATTAAAATAACGTTGAAAACAAATAAATTAAAAAAATATATATGAAGTCATAAAAAATTACGTCTGCAGGCGAATTTGTAGTTTTTTAAATACAGTAGAATCCCTGATATCCGGAATCCCTCATATCTGGAATGCCTCATATCCGGAATCCCGAATATCCGGACATGATTTTGATGTGTATATTTGAACAATTTGTGTAATATATAACTGATTTGAAATTTTTGTTTTTCAGGAAATTTAATTTGGATATTTACCTATGCTTATTTCACCCTAATGGCTTGGACTGGTGGAAAAGTTGATGGGAATACGAGGAAAAGAACAACAGTGTTTTCGCAAAAAGTGGAAAATTTAAGCAGACTAGACGCTGGTGAAAATTCATTGTAACTAATGGCTGAGTTCAACATAGGAAAATCAACATTGGATGATATAAAATCTTCCGAAGAAACTATTCTCCAGATTTCAAACTGTCACAATGAACAAGCAAATAAAAAAATATATGATTGCAATGAAACCTGGTCTGAAATTGAAAAAGCTATTGAAAATGTTGTCAGTTTTATGGAAAGAGAGCAAGCATTCAGCTATGTCGATTGCAATAACGCACGCAGAGTTTCAAAATGTCTTTCATTTTAAAAAATTTCAAGAACAAAAGCAAAACGAAATGCGGAAAAAGTTGAGAATAACATTAGAAGAGAAAGAATCATCATGCAATAGCGATTAAAAAATCCTCGTTACATTATTTGTTTTGCATACGTGGCATATTTAATTTAATGAATTTTCATTAACATTACATAATTTATTTCTTTTTCTTAAAATCAGTTCCGTTATATTTCACTCACTATTTGCTTATTTTATTTACTATAAAAAAATGAAAATAAATGTTAAACTTCATTTCTTTTATTTTAATCTAAATATTACCTATCATATCCGGATTTTGTGACCAATTCCTCATTTAGAGAAGACCTTAGTCCGGTTGTCAGGGATTCTATTGTAATAATGGTTTAGTGATGCAAGTCTTACTAACTAGTTGCGGGAGGAAAGAAGGATTCATAAGATTTCCAAGAATATTTGCACGTCAATGAATGAAACGAACCCAACGGGAACTGGAAATCAAAGCTTCAATTAACAATTTCAAAACATTATATTACCTGCACATCCAAGTTTACAGCTCCTGATATTTCCAAGCGGTCACCCATCTAGTTATTGACCAGGCACGACGTTACTTAACCTCGTAAGACATGATTGTGAATCGTATTATCGATGGTTTAAGCTGGGGCATGCACTTCACTAATTAGAATACCTGATGTACCTAAGCAATCACACATTTATTACTAACCAGCTATGATTTTACATAATTATAGTGATCATTAGAGCCCAGGTCTAATTTGATCATTAGCAGTGTCGGGGGGGGGGGTCTCATCGAAGAAAGTCTCTTACTTGATGAGATAAAACAGTTCAAAATCAGGAATAGAATAAATAAGGATATACAGGGTGCGATGGGTAAATTGTCGCACTACAATGGCCAAGGGCAAGATAAAATGTTTTTTAGTGTTGGTAAAGCATACCAAAGAGGTAGATAGATAGATATGAATAAAGTGAGATAGCTAGATAGCTAGCTAGCTAGCTAG